TTATCCGTTCACGCTTCTGAATCCATTCCTCCACGAGCCCTCTCACCAAGGCCTAAAAAGCTACAGGGAAAAAAAAAAATAATTGGACGGGTGACCTTAGTCCCACACCCTTACGAGCTTCCTCTTCTCCTGTCCCTCATTTTAGATCTCTTTCCCACATTCAAACCACGCTAGACCAAGGAGCCATGCCCACCTGCTCCACCTCATGGAGGAGGCTAGGGCAAGTCACCATTCACATCCCTGTGTAACAACTAATCATTGGCTCTCTAAAATGAACTGTGCATATTTCCTAGCATTTATATTAATCTTGCAAAGGTCTCCTTGTATAACGCACCAGGGGCGAGTAAATTTCTTTTTGATGGAAGAGTAAAATTACTTTTTTCATTAGCAGTAAGTAGTTTTTAGACCTGCCTGATTAAGTTTTCACAACAATTTTGCAAGGCTGAGAGCACTTTACATCAAAGAACAGCACAAACATGAATTCCCACCCAGCCTTGGTGAGGTAGGCAAGTATTATTTACTACTAGAACCCAGCGATACTGACCTTCCGTATGTGGAACAAGATACATCTTTTAGTCAAGCATTTGTATGACTGTAAGTGGGTTATTTATGGCAGATTGGGGCAGACTAGGGGGAAAGGGTACATGGGTTATACTGAAGACAAACAGATTTAGTGTGTGATAGCATTAAATCCATGCCTTGCACTCACAATCTGTGGTTATCGGTACCTAAGTCAATAAACAAAATTAGAGGGAGAAACTGAGGCACACAGTAATTAGGGATTTTGCCCAAGACTACCCCGCACATCACCAGCAGAGAATAAAGCTCCAGAGTTCCTGGCTCCCAGTTTCATGCTCAGTCCATTCTACATCTCTTTACATGATCACACTCTGTTTTTACTATTCCCCTTTCAGAGATGCCTCATCTGTATCATTTATCTACAAAGATAATAATTAAAGAACACAAGGCTCATTTATTTAAGTGTTTCATTTAGTTAACAATAACTTTTAGCTGGAGTTTCATATTTTATTTGTTCAAAGGGATTTTTACTTCGAGGGTGGGATGTCAGGTTTATAAGATTTTGTTTTGGGCGGTCGGGCATGGTGCCTATTTTGGTAATTTATGGTTAATTCTGCAACGTTACGGCACCCAGAGGCCTTTGGGCATGGGTGCCTATACAGTAAAAGTTAATAACTACAGTTCGTTCAGGTCATAAAACATGTTGCATTACATGAATTATGTTGATTACACAGTACAATCTCTTCATGAAATTGATCTGCAATGTCAGAAAACAGCAGTAAGGCTGTGCTATAAAGAGGGTAGTTAAACCAAAGTTTAGTAGAGTTGGAAGCTAGTCTATGGTAGCCTTCCATCAAGGACATCTACTACTAGTTTGTTGGATCTGCAGAATATTCTGTTTCGTGGTAGCCCCTGAACTTTTAAATCCTTGAATCTCAGCTATTTATCACCCATGTGGGAGCTACATAAAACGTTTTCCTTCAGCCTCAGTATTCTGATATAAGACAAACTAATTAAAAAAATTAGAAAAACCTAAAATATAGGCCAACTAATGGAGTTTCTTAAACTACACATTGAACTGAAAAGATAAATGGCACCTATAAGCTGTAAATATATTAATTTTTTTCCAAGTATTTTCTTTGGCTGTGTCATTCAGCTGAACAAGGGCTAAAAATTGTCAAACTAAATTCTCGGTGAGAGTCGAGCTCTAACTACTGCCAGTTTGAGTGAAACACACATCCAGGTTTAGGGAATACGTTTTGTTTGTTTTGGCTACGGCACAGGGTAGAACATTTTCCATCCCATCCGAATACAGTCAAAAGGTTTTGAAATATTGCACAATAAAAGCCATTCATTATATCTGTCTCCTCTCCCTTCCAAAAACAAAAATGGCTGACCAGTTCCAAATCCGTGCAGGGGGCAGGAAGATGGGAGTCAAAGGGTCACTGGCAATCACCCAAGACTAACACCAGGTTTTTCAGGTTTAAGTTAGGGAATATGTTCCATGCCTCCATTCCCAATGCACACTGGGTTTTTTCTTCTCCCCCGGCCAAAGCTTGGTTAAAGTAGTTAAATGCTCTGTTATGCACAATTTACAAGGCTTAATTACAAAACTAATACATTAGCCTTCTTGTCTGAGTGTCAAAGATGAAGTTGTACCTTTCCCACAGGGACTATAGTACAATCAGATCCTATCTTACCTAGTCTAAAACATGTTGCTTACATACTTTAAAAACGTCCCAGCTGAAAAGACACTCACCTACACTTTTCTGGGGGTTTTATGAAACAAAAATATCCTTTCCATTGTTTAATAGCCTGCTACAAGCTTGAAAATTAGATTTCACTACTTTTGTAGGATTCTGTTCAAGATATAATAGAGATGTTTCTAATGATGCGAAAATAATGCCATTGGTTTGCCGTGTGGATTGGCATCCGCACAGATATCAACCCAGTTTTGGGTAGACTGCACAGTATCTTCAGTTGCAGAGCCAACAGGGGGAGTAGCAGAGCAGGACACATTTCGGCCTGATGTCAGGGAGTGCTCCACAAAGAGGTACAATTAAATTTTATATACAGCATTTGAGAAGTAAAGGATATTTTTTAAAATAATCAGGTATTTAGAAATGAGCGGGAGAGGAACCACAACAATAAAAGTAATGTAAAGAAAATGTTCCTAAAATGAGCTTGTAATTACAATATAGTTAAAGACCAGGAGATATTTGTTACGGTCATTTATCAGTAAATTAGAGCAAAGTTATTCATTTCACTTAATTTTCTCTTTATTAAAAAAATTTAGAATGACTTTTGCCAGGTTAAAAGGAATAGCTGTTGTACTGCCATGAAAACAACATGCTTCTAGTATATCAGGAGTAAATTAGATCATTTATTCTATGATTTGTTTTAGTTTCTGGAAAGATAAGCTGTCTAATTCACTCTGCCATTAGCAGAACATTTATAGTAAGATTCCATCCCTTCTCTTTGAACTTCAGAAAACGTGAATTTGCAAGAATTCATGCTTGGTGTTTTTCTTCATGTCATTCTGATGGTCCAACACAAATTCCCATTGTTTATTGCATCCCCTACAGGTAGTTCTCAAACATTTCACTGTAATCTAACACTTCACAATATAGGAGACAAGTATTATATAACTACTCTTTCCTTCCTTAGTTGACTAATGACCTGGTAATTACAATATAGTGGCAAGATAATGATTGCATTTCCAGGAAACATTTATCCCGTAAATCAGTCACTACATAGCAATTACACAGGAATCTGATAAATGTAATTATTCAGCAATACGTACTTAACTCAAGCTATTACTGTTGCTGAAGTGATCTAATGACTACATACTAGGAATTTACATAGAACATCACGTGACTATTAAGTAAGCTTCACAAAATCCCTGTGAGGCCAGGAAGCATTATCCCCATTATACAGAAAGGGAAAGTGAAGCAGACAGGTGGCCAGAAACCACAATTATTTATACTGTGGTAGTGCCTAGGAGTCTCTGGAATAGTCTGCACTACAAAGGCTTTGCCAGTATATAGACTTAGCTTATACCAGCCAAAGAAATCCTTTTGCTGGGATGGTTAAACCATCTCTCTAAAGGACGTAAGACATACTGGCAAAGGGACTCTGGTGCTGGTATAAGCTTTGGGGATGGAAGTTGCCACCATAGCTTTCACAGCCCTAGCGGACACATTTATGCTAACTTTCTAGTGTAGACCTGGCCTCAGTCATACACCAGCATCCCATCGTACCAGGTGCTGTACAAGAAAAAACACAGAACAAAGACCACCACCGCCTCCAAGAGCTAACAAGCAAAAAGTCGGCCTTTGTCAAGACAAGGTTTTAAATTGAGCTCAGAAACTCTGTGCCATCACAATCTAATGAACACCTTTTACAATTCCAGTCAAGATAAAGCACCAGGCTTTAGAACATACTTGACTGATCAAGTTAAACCCTGGGCTAGGCTTTAACTCTGCCAGTTTTGTACATTCTAAAGCACGATTGTGTGGTCTTGAATAGAGGGGTAGATGTTAGACTGACCTGGCTGACTTGACCTAAGAGGACAACTTAAAACCTACTCTCAACAAGGCCACAATAAGTGGCAAAGCCAGGATTACAAACCAGAATATCCTGACTCCAAAACCTGGTTTACTTTTCCCCGACCATACTACCTAAATGTTATCTTACTATACCCTATTAAGCCATCGTGCAATAAAAGCAGCAATTATAGGAGGCTGCCTCTAAGTTAGAGATGCAAATTTGATATCATCTTTTTAAAACTTAACTTTATGAACACCATTTTAGGAATGTGAAACATAAATCTCCTTTCACATTACGTTTTAGCCCCATCTCATTGTTCAGCTTTGTGAAAAATGCAGGCAGGGTGATGGATTCCTGGCTCCAGTTCCTACACAGCAGCCTGGTAACCACACTGTGGCTCTCACACGGCTCCAGGATCCTAGGTACACACTTTCCCTTGTGAAAGGAGCAGTGTTTTATATGCTTGCATTTTTGAGATGCAAAAGTTTCAAGTCCTTTTTTATTATGCTTCACACACTCATACACACACACACACCCACCCTCCCTCCCTCCACGGGGGAAAAGCCTCATATCCCAGAATATCTGCTTCCCTCCAAAGTCCAATGACCCTCCAACACCAGTACTGTCTCATTATCCTTATTCCCATCTTACCCCTAGTGACTCTCCCAACACTTCCTTGCATCCCAACAACAATTTCTTTCACCTCTTCTCAGGTTCCAACCTCTAGGCTCAGTTAACCCCTGCAAATAGCATTTACAGTCTCAGTCTTCCTCAATCATGTTCTGGTTCATTATTTTCTCTCATAACTATTTCTGAATAGGCAGAAGTTGAAAATTTTAGTTAATACTGCATATATGGAAGACAAACGCTAAAGCAACTGGGTGGATGAATCAAAGTAAATGGTACTCAGCAATGGACACACACACAAGTGATACCGCATATCATCTCTGTTTAAAAAAAAGATTTGTACACAGCGGGCAACAAATGACTTTTGATCTTACACAGGACTCAAGGATACGGATATATAAAAAAAACCCCACATACTGTGGCCCTATTTACACATTTGTTTTAACCAGGTCCCCCCAGTCACTACGGTAATTATGCTGGAAAGAAAATCTGTTTATACTTAGATATCCTATTTTTAAGAAAAAGGGATATACATCTGTCACACAAGAAAAGTCTGTCTTCAGACTTATTTACAGTCATTAGGATGTTCCCAGCAACTGAACAAATTCTTTAATACTGGACTAAAGAGGCTCACCCTATTCCTGTAAGAGATCTGCAGTGGAACACATACACCATGTAAAACAAACGGTCTTAAATAACTAGTGAAAAATATATTCCAGGAAAAAGTAAAATTTTAGTCAAGACCAATAGAAACACCCAGTCTTGCAAGACAAGGTGATGTGTGGGCTCTTCACAGAGCTTACTATCTCATATTGATTACAGTATATGCCATCAATCATAAGATTAATTTAGTTTTATTTTAACCTTTAAACCATTTCTCCCAACCCCATCCCAGAAGGTATGAAACAGGCAAGAAAATTAATTAAGTATAAAATAAGAGTACCAGAGTTAGCTGCTATTACCAGTTTGTTTTGAACCAACACAAGTGATTTTGACATTTCAGTATTGTGGTCTGGGAACTGTTTAAAGATTTTTTTAAATCCATGACAGTTTTCACAAAGAAGTCCGGTTTGTCTACATCTACCCCAGTGCAAAATTCATGCCACACTGCCCTCTGCTGGTAAAACAAAGATATTGCTATGCCACACAAAATTTAACTGAATATGCTCATATCTTCTAAACCAAAGTCTAAAATTTTCACTGTGGTAGATTTAATTTTGCTAACATTAGAGACAGCATATTCTACTATCTTCCAGAAACCAGTTCAAGTTAGAAAAATTTGGAAGACAGCAAAAGCAGATAAACGCGCAAAGATTTAGTTAACGAAGACTTGAAAAAAAGGGACGATGAAACAGTAAAAGAAAGTGGATGGGTCCGGATGAAGAACTGTCACTGAAATCAACAGTACAACACAAATGATATCTTTTGATGAAGTTTCTTGCAAAGTTGCCTGAGTAGTTCTTGTTTTCTGAAAGACTGGCTGTTGGTCTCTGCAGATAGGATAAGACAGTGTTTCAATGTGACTTTCTAACTTCACCAAAAGTACATAAGAAATTTTATTCCAGCTCAAAGTGGTCAAACAGATTTACAATATAGAGATGATTTTTCAACTTTAAGAATCTGTTTTAAAGCTGGCATATTTCACCTTACAGTTGAAGTACAATAGCATGAAATATGAAAATACTGACTGGATAAAGCGGACCATATTCAACATTTTACGTTCTATAGCTCAAACTAGAAATAAGCGAACAGTAAGATGGCAGATCAACTACTGAGTACTGTATTGGGTACATATACACTGAAGATTTAAAACATTCACAATGCACTTATGCAGTACTGTACTTCATTTGCTGGACACGTTCATATCCTTTTCTTGCCAGTTTAGCCTTAAACATTAAAACATGAAGTATTGTATACAGTAAAGATTAAACAAACTTAACAAGCAATCCTTCTGCAGAAATTGTGATTTCTTTATGATTAGTGCAAATGTAAAGTACACAAGTCCGTAGCAGTGGGCGCTCCAGACCTGTTGGTGTCAAGATGGTAAAGCAAAGTCTCTGCAGAACCTGGGAAAAGTCTGCACCCCAGCAGGAGCTTTCTTCATGGTTATGTTAGTTGTACAGGATCTCTATTTGTTAGCTTGTTTTTGAAATCTGGAAAAAAGTTACATGGATTTCAAAAGCAATTTTTTTTTTTAATAGAATCAATTTATAAAGCAGGATTCAGCACATGAGCAATATCAACTCTTCAAACAATTACCATTGGAAGGGTATTCCCGAAGCCATCATAGGTCAATTAGTAAAGACACACTCATTTTTTACAGACTGTGACGCTAGGCTTCAAAATACAATCAAATTAGGATTTAAATTCTGCTCTGTCAAGAAGAACCAACACCATCAAGAATGGATTATTTCCCACTCCCCTAAACTGTCTGTCAATATTAGTTGCTTTTTTTGATCCATAAACTGTGTTTCTCTTTTCCCAAAAGAGGTGAGAACCACGTGTGGGCTTGCTGGCATTTCTTTATGCAAGTGGAGGAATGAGAGACTTTGCTTACTGATTGTACCCTAGCGAGTTGGGTATGCATATGGAGTCTGCCCATAAACCGTATCTTATCCAGTAACCACTCCGAAGTTTCCAGGGCAAAACACATACTGCTATGTGCTTTCCACAATGCTAAGTATAATCCACCATAACTCCTGCCTCATAAAAAAAGAAAAAAAAAAAAATCAGGGCAACAGATTTGAACATTTGAAATCCCAGACTTCCATAATACAGTACGTATTTTAGTTAGAGTAATTCTTTTTTCCCCAAGTGGGTCTAAATATAAAGAGATCTAAATATAAAGAATCCTAAAGAATGTGACCAAGCAACTGGGTCTTGCTCCTTAAAGAAATCTTGCACCTAAGACAAGCAGGTTATTCTATAAAACACTATTCTCCTTTGACTGTAAATGTCACAGCAATGGAACAAAATGTATCTTGGCATACAATTCACTAGTTTCTATGGCTATCCTTTCCACAGGAAGGAGTGTGTGTTCTTCGGCCTCAGTTGACTGAAGCCCCTTATACTTCCAATAAATTACTGAAGTGTGTATTTATTCTCTTGACAGTTACAGCTTTTACTACTGCTTCAATCAATCAATCAATCAATCCTTGTAGATCCCAGTATTCTTCTAAGAATAAATATTTCATCACTTTGCTTTGTGACTGCTAGAAATAGGAAGTGCGGATTCCTAGCATCAAGAGATTAAAGCTTCACCCTTTGCCCATCATTGCTGACTAATACACCTGTACTCTCAACGCTGAGCTTGCTTTTCCGCAGTTGTTTCACCAAGCGTTTTGAAACTCTCAAGCCAAAGGACAATTCAAATCACTTGGCAAATGAACAAGTAAAATGAATATTTATACAAATGTCTTTGTGACCAGAGAAATAAGTCATTCCCTATTTCTAAGCGATACTTTTAAATACAGATAACTGAACTGAAGCCAAAGAAAATCCACATTAACATACTGACCTTTTTCTTTTTAAAAAGAGATGGCCCATTTTGCCTAGGCATTAGGATCGTTCTCAAAGGATACTTGCATTTCAGACTCCTTTTGGTAGTTTTTATCATTGTACACATGGCTTGCCCTTCTCTTTTTCCCTGTTTGAGTTATATTTTTGGTTTCCTGGGAAGTGGATGCACACATGCTCCTCCTCCGTGTTTTGCAAGAGCCTCCTGCAACAGGAACACGCTCATTGTTCTCTTTGCTCAAAGCTGAAAATTGGATCCAATTTTCTGGTCTTTGATGAATGTTCTCAGATTCTTTAAAGATGGATGCATACATCGTCCGCCTCGATTTGCGACCAGAATCTGACAAAGAGTTCTTGTGAATCTCAGTAGGTATTTTAATCCACGCAAGTCCCTCATTTTCTGCATTTTTATGCAGCCTCATACTGCGTCTTACCTTTTTTTCAGGATTCTCACTCGCCTTCAAGAAGGACTGCTCTATAGAGTAATGTAGATCACTAAACATTTCTGAGTCATTTTCTATTCGGGATTCTTGCTTATTAGTAAAGGAACCAGAGAGTTTGTTTCCAAGTGCTTCAAAATGGAGATTCTCAAGTTCAGAAAAGTAGATAGTGCTTCTCCTGCCTTTTCTTGAAGGCCTTTTGAACCCTTTAACATTGGCGTCACTGTCAGCTGTTCGTTCTCTTGCAAAGTCTGTAATAGAACATCCAGTTTGAGTATTTTCACTTACACCGATGTCCTGCAGGTTGAAGAACTCTAGCTCCTTTAGCATCTCGGAGTTATCTGAAGGATGATCACTTTCCGGCAAACGTTCATTTTCTATTAAGACAGCTCTCTCTTTTTCACGGTCTTTATTGTCAGATGTATCAAATGGGGACGTGCTCTTAATTTCTTGCATAACTGTGTTTAGTCGTGGCAAAAGAGAATTTGATTTTACAATGACAGGTGAAGTGTGTTCTGTCATAAGACTGGACTCAGACTGCTCACAGGTGGTCTTATCATTGCTATCTTCTTCATCGGTCTGATTATTCACACAAACATCACTCTCTTTCTGTTCTAGCGACATTAAGGGTGATCCCAGCTCATTTTCTGTCTGAATGCTTTCTTGTATATTAAGCACCTCAATATTAATGGTTGAAGCAGGATCAGGGCCAATGTCTGATGACTGACACTCGATGCCACCGGTGCTGCCGGCTTCTACAATGTCAAGGTCTCCAGTGTTTGGACATTTGCTAGTTATAGGCACTTTCCTTTGGTTTCTTCCAACCACTTTTTTCTGTTCAACGACTTCATTCATAGATCCTCTGTGGGCATTGGTGGATTTGGAATAATCTAAAAGGATATACAAAGTTTACAATTTAAAAAAGCTGAATTGACATAAGTTTGCTTCGTTATACTCAAGAGAACACCTGAAAGTAAATGCAAAATTTCAAAAAGATTGCAATCAATTGAAACTAAGAAGTAAAGCCGCCACAGCATTTTACACCTCCTCCCAAAGAAAGAGCTGTTTCAAGTAGCTAACATTGGTAGTTATTGTCAAAGCTATTCTGCACCGCTCATCCACCCAAGGATACAGTCTTTCCAGTCAGACCATCCTACAAATAATCAGAATTTTATAGGAAAGTTTGAACGAGACCGACTGGTTTCAGTCAAATTAATAAAGGCAGAGGGAAGCAGCATTCTTTCAGAAGAGGCCTGACATGTTCATGTGCATCAGGACCAGCTAGGCAATATCATTTCAATCATGGGCAGAATTATGAGCTGCCCAGAAACACTAATCCGAAAGAGGCTTTGATACTAGCATTTTAGATGACTCTTCATTTCTCATTAAGTTAGGGTTTACTTGAAGTTGATTTGAGAGGTAAAATGTCACAATTCCCAGTGCAAAGATCACTCCAGATTGCGTTGACTGAGAACATTTAAAGGAGCCAGGGGTGCTGGTGGAGGAAAGCATTAACCCTTCCCTCTCATGGCTCAAAGAGAATTCTATTAATAGAGGACATGCTCCAAGCTATCATAACCAACATGGCTGCAGGCCACCTGCCTTCTACAGTAGACAAGACACAATGCTGCTTCTAATCAGTCTGTCTTTTCTTCCAGCTGCTTAACTTACTATTGCACTATAGACACAAGGTCCCCCCCGTGAAAATTAAATATTACAGTTCATGTTCTGTATGCCTCACTGTATTCAATTTAGCACTCTGCATCAAGCTTCCCACTTCTACTATTCCATTGGTTTCTCTCACACTTCTTTGCACTTCCTTTTATGATACACATGCCTGAAACTCACTTTTCTTTCAAATCCCTCAAAAAAAAAAAAAAAAAAAAAAAATCAGAACACTACCCAAGTCTCAACTGTAGTACCAAACTAATGAATTTTTAGTTTATAAATATCCTATTTCTTTCCAGCCATAACATTTTTGCAGCACTGAGATACTGATTTTCTGGCCATCCTGTCAACATGCCTGTATTGTTTGAGTTGTCTGAGAACTTAAGCTCCTGAGAGCAGGAAACCGGTCTTTTCTTTTGTGCAGTGTAAAGCATATTGCTGGTTATTTAAATTTAAAAAAAAATCCAGTATTCCTGAGGCAGAAGTATCAGTTTTACTAAAATAGCTTTCGAATAGTTGACCCTCACTACCAGGAGACGAACAAGCTAGAGGTTGCAGTTTATAGAAAAAGAAGAACAGATCTAGATCTAGCCTTCTGAGGCCACATGACATGGGGTCACAGGATCCCAAAATCTTGAGAACCCATTCTTTAGAGAACCAGTTTTGGGTGCATGCACAGACTTACGCTATATGTAAAATGTTAAAACAGAGGTAGACAGGGAAACATAAGATTTCCAGTTTGTTCATAGATGCTTACGACTAAAAAAAAATTTTTTTTTTTTTTAAAATCCCATCATGAGTTCGTCCAAAGCTCAAAAAAAAGGAGATATAATTTGGCAAGTGAGCTAATCAAACATCCTTTGGGCATATCAGTGATTAACAACATGCAGATTTCAAATTCTTCTAAGGTATTCACAATAACCTGGCCAATTTTTTTGTTTAATGGAATGGATAAAGTATACCCCTCTGGTCCCTCAGTTGTGTCAATCCATTCATTTAAAAAAAAAAAAAAATTACAACAAACTAAAAATCACACAAGATAGCCTGAGGTTGAGGACCTAGCCAACCCCAAAAAACCCACAAAGTTTAGGACTGACCACCTCAATGATAGTCTTAACCTATCAGCCCATTTATCTGATGGGCTCTTCTTGTAACAATTTCAATTGCTACATTGTAAGAGTTCAGTTTTATCCAGTTTGGGGCTTTGTAACAGCACCATAGATTCCTGGATCATATCACTGAAGTACGATCCTTCCCCTCTCTTCTCCCCGCCCCAGCCCCTTTCTCCAGAATTCCTCTTCACAAGATGATAAAGGTCAGATTTATTAGACTTTTTACGTATGCGTAGAGGCTAGAAAGTTAACAGCTTTTACAGTTTTAGGATTGACTGCAAAAGTTAAAGTGGCTGAAAAGGAGAAAGACTATATTACCTGAGAAGAGCAAAACGTGGGTCCGAGGTGAGTTCGGAGAAGATGGTGCAGAAGAGAAGACCTCTGGGATCTCAGGAATTGGGCTCAAAAGAGGTTTCTTGGAAGCTACTTCTCTCTGACCATACAAGGATTTTTCTACCTTTTTCTTTCCTCTTTTTCCTCCATAACCTCTAAGTTTTGCCTTCTGAAAAGGTTTACAAAAAACCAAGACAGTATTATCCCTTTTATGTTTTTCAATAAATCTACATCAACTAACAGTTTAATTTATAGGGAGAAGCACACATTTAGGTAATATTTTAAGAAAATAGGGTGTAACTGGAGCAAAGTTATTCATTGTTGAACACAACAACAACTAGTATGGGAGTTACATCTTAGAAAAAGCTTAAGGGTCCTTTCTGTACTGTACTGTTGTACAAGGTTTCCCCTGCCTCTCATAAAAGAGAAGTCTTGAGGAAAAAAGGTATAAAAATACAGGTATATAAAGGCTATTGGGCCCGGCTTCACCCGCGGTACAGGAAGGGATTAGGGAAAGTGAGACACCTATAAGATAAAAAAAGTGTGTTGGCAGTGGCATAAAAAATAAACTCTCCAAAAAACTTACACTATGAGCAGATCTCGTAATTATAGAAGACATCCATGAGAAATTAATTTCAGGAGATATCGACAACAGGAAAAATTAAGTGAGGTATTCACAGAACTGCAGTGTGCCGTTACTTACTGGTGTCCTTTTGGGGGCAGATTTGTTTTCCTTTCCTCTTTGAACCTTGCTCTTTCTTAGCTTCTTAATATCTTGAGCATTTTTGGTCAAGATGCTAACACCAGTCTCTTCTGAAATGTTGATATGCTGTTGAGGAACATCAATTCTTTTTTTAAAAAAAAAAAGAGTACACAATACAGACCAGAAGCCATAACAATCTCAAAGTTATAAATCTTATGTTCACTTCACTTGATTAATTATAAAGTCATGATAGATTTACAAAGCCTACCCCCAACCCCATGCAGTTATATAGTGTCTTTTTTTAATATTTATTTTAAGAAGGGTGGGTTGGTCTTCTGGAGTATCCTGTTTCCTCACTGAAGTGCCCCAACCTGTAACTAGAGCTATACACCTCTATGGAGCGAGTCTAGTGAGGGATATTATTGGAATGTGTTAGAATCCTGTGCAAGAAAACTGTGAGCCTCAAGTTCCTGAAAGCAAGGAACGTTAATAGGTGGGCGTCATGTTGCTATGAGGCTACTGGGCAAGCAAGTTAACACATCAATTAATACTTCTTTAATATTGCTGCCTGGGAACAATCAATCACTACCTGCAGCATACTGACCTACCATGCACACATATATCCTGAAGATCTTACAGCAATCAAAAAAGTTATATAGTGAACAGGAATAAAATTTGAAAATCATCAAGAAGAGTTTATAATTATGCAAGATTGAGTGCGGAACAAGTAAATCAGGTTTTAAAATAAAATTATGAAAGCATTCGCTGTTTCGTTAACCGTACCAATATTTTTTTGTAAAATTGGGAAGCTCTCAATCATTTCTCACCAACATCTAACAATACGAAGAGTGGATAAAATTTGTTATTTGGAAGTTCAATAAAAATTACCAAAAGAAAATATTAAAGATACTTACCTTTCTTTTAGTAGAGGACCGGGTTATTCTGGGACAAGACGTTTTGTTATCAAAGGAATTAATGTCTGTTAAATACATTGGAAAATAAGAATCTTGGTTAAACTATGTAAGAACAGCAGATATACCTGTCTTGGGAAGTCTCAGATATAGCTCCTCTCACTATACACCTTGTCTCACCTTCTTTTCATTACGCTTATTTGTTTAGTGTATAAAGTATGCCAAGCCCTTTAAAAAACATACAATACAGCCTTTGCCCTGAAAAGGTTTACAGTTGTAAATTGAAATAGGACAAGCAGGTACAAGAAAAACTGACGGGCTTGGGGCAAGCAAAGGGAGGACAAAGATTACAGCAGCAAGGTAAAGTGGTTACTTAGAAAGAGGCATGCACATACCTTGTTTATTTTTGTAGTTTTAATTTGTTTTTGGCTTGTGTTTATTGTTTACATTGTAAAAATCCCTACATTAATACAGACTTCAAAAAACAAACAAACAAAAAAAACCCCAAAACAAACAGATATATCCAAGTTACTAAGCCCGGTTCATCTTGGACCTCACAGTTAAAGAGCCAGCTTTTACAAGGAATTAATGTTGTCTGAGAGATTGATCCTGTACCTAGTCAGGGACAATGGCAAAGCTCCCACTGATTCAGTGTGCATGATCAGGCCATAAATTAGTAGGTCTAAACCAAAGGCAGGTTCAGGGATAGAAGAAATACGTTTTAGGCAGAATGTGAAACCAAGTCCTAAATGCTTGCTGATAAAACCTTTATGCTCCACCACCCACACCATCATGCATTTTTTACATGCTGATCACACTAGGCACTCAGTTGTTAAAAACATGAAAAACAAGCAGTAAATTCAACTTTGACCAGGCACACACAAACAAATTCTGAGGTTTCAGTGAGGTTGAGATGGCCTACAAGCCAGTGAACAATGAACATTTCTGATGCTTCAACGTTATGTCTTGTTTATCCCAAAGTTATTTTCAAGGTTTATCAAACAGCAGCATTAAACATATTTCAATATCAAATGTAAGTATGTGTCTTGGCATCTTTCCCTAAAATTTTTCATTAATTAAGACACACAAATGCTAAGAGATATCAAATATACAAACTAAGAAGCCATATTATAACCCAACTTTACCTTTCATATTCTCCGGGACCGCGACAGACTCTTCAAGAGGCTTAGCATATTCCTGGATTAAAAATAAATAAATAAATAGATTACACACACATACCTTCTTTCAATATTTCAAAAACCTGCTTAAGACAGCATATGAATGGCCTAATGGAATTCTCCTTCATCCTGCAAAGAGAGGAACTTAGTAATTGTCACACGTAGAGACATTATGAAACATGGTACAAGCATGAAAGGCCCAACAAACAAAATGAGGCTAAATCCCACATACTTCCAATATTGTAACAGAATTCATTTCCGATGGCCAATCTGCAGGCAGAACAGCTATGCAGGATGCCAAAGGCAAATGAAGCAAAAAATTGTGTGTTTAAAGAGTAACCATTCCAAGATGTCAAATCAATCCAGATTTTAACATTTATATTTTTTTTAAAAAAAGGAACCAAATGGAACGATAAAACTGATTGCAGTGACCAAGAAGCCATTGTAATAATTTAAAGCAAACTCACATCATCACCATCACAGTCATCAAAGTTTGGCTGGGATAAAGATTCTCTCATAGGACTTATTACTTTGGAAGGGCTATCGCTTTGTGATCCTGGGTTACTGATTGGGGTCGCTCCTTTACGCAATGGTGTATTTGCAGGCAAGGTTTTATCAAATACTTCTGGGCTTAGATCCTCTCCAAAAGTAACTTTCTTTCTCTTCATTGGCTTTTCAGAGCTGTACACATCTGTTTTGTCTATTGTTTTAGTATTGCTTGTATCTGTAACAGAAGATATTAAATTCATAGTGACCTCAAATGCGATTAACGGAAATATTTTACTTCAAGTCTCTAAATAAAATAAAGAGAATTTAAACAGGCAATTGTTTCAAGCACAGAATTCCTAATGAAGTCAACAGGATTTTTCAGTATGGATCTACAGTATTACAGATTTGAGAGCTAAGGAAAGAGGAGACAAAAATATAGAAGGCATATTTGAGTTTCTTGTAAAACGAGAACTGAAGATTAATTGCTTTATGGTTTTTTGGTAGGAAGAAACAGAAAACTATTGACTACTAAAAAAAAAAAGAATCCCATAGTCACTCTTTTATTAGGATCCCTCTGAAGAAGCTACGTAATAGGCAAGATAGACTGCCACATTCTGATGTATCCAAATATTGCTTGAAAGTTAGTGTTAATACGATGGTTATGGCGAAAATGTTAAGACAATACCAAATGTAAGTTATCACCTTACAGCACTTCAGTAGCCTGCATGCTCGTCGTCTCAGTCCAGCCTGGGAGGACAGTTATCCATCCACCACCACCGCAATGAGCATCTTTTAAATGGCTAAAGAGATTGAACTACTACCTATCAAAGATAGTCACTTCAGAAAAGAAGTGAGATTCCTTGGTTGGGTGGTGTGGAGAACTGCTCATGTTTCTAAATTGTGGCATGTTTATGGAAGTCAGCATTATAGTAATCTTGCATATATAGTGCCTTTCATCCACAGTGCTTTACGAACTAATAAATTACGAGCAAGATTGTGGCCTGGGCTGCATGTAACTCAGTTGTGCCTCTGTACAGCCAACCTGGACCTTGGCTCCGGGTGCAAGGAGATAAATGGATGTTGTGTCACTGCTTTTCCATCCCCACACCCTAAGCACATTTTTGGTTCCATCCCCTGGCCCAATATGCCAACCAGTGTAGCTAAGTCAATAAACATGGGTAGAAGCTTGCTTTTGGTATGGGCCAGGAACAGATTACAACTGGGGCAGGAAAGGAGTTATGCCTATGTGAGACAATTCCTTCCCTGCTGCAACACTTGGGTCGAGCCCTCACACACTCCACCTTCTTCCATCATACAAGTGCAGTCACCACTGGGGTAAGACATGGTCATTGTTGAATAGCCTGCATCAATCCTACACAGTAGTTTAAGACGAAGCAAACTGAGCCATATCTAACTGACATTACAGGAGTAGCTTAGATAGGCAGAATTCGTAATGCAATAGGAATTTGACTAAATCTGTAATTTGGCCAGGAAACAGGAAAATACCTGTTTTCTTCTTAAATAAAACATTTAAGAAAAGAACTACTAAGTGGTCAGAACCTCAGTTTGACTTAGTACAGTGAAAATGGCACCTCCAGAATTACTGTATGCCCTGGACTATTAAGTACCGAGTCAGAGGGTAGGAAGCTTGCTACTAAGCAAATCAATTAACACTTCCTGGTCTTAAAAGTTCTCCACGTTAAGAACTGACTCAATGTCCAACAGGATCACAGGCCAAAAAGGAACTTCCTTTATCTACTGTAAGCCCCCCTGTCATTTGCAATTTCAGACAGTCAGTATATAACTCTACCATGACCTATTTTTTCCAAAAACATTTGAACTTGGAAAGTATTTTAAAAGTTGTATCCCAAGGATATTGCCGTATATTAAATATTCAGTTTTCTTACATCTTCTCACAATTAAAAAAGAAAAATTAAATGGGCACTGTCAACTTGAAGTCATGTTTCCATCTTCAAGTTTTGTACCTGTTGTATTTCTGCAAAAAGATTGCTGAAAGTACGAAATTAGTGATAGCGTCTTCCTTCCCCCACCACCATTCACTTTGAGAATTTGACAGCACTTTGCATATAGCCAGTTTCCTCTTTTTCTTGGTTCGTTGTACCGCCTATCCCATAAAATAGCATCATTTGTGCACTGCTTACTTACACACTCTTTCCTCAAGTTCTGCAACAAAGTGACCAGTAGCAACAGCATCAAGTTCAACTTGACAGTGTCCCTTTTAATTAATAGGAAATAAAGTTTGCGCCAGTTTAGGAATGTATAAAAATTTCTGACCTGTTTGCAGTTCTTCAAAACTTCTTGAGAGATCAGAGAATACGAGAGGTTCGTTTCCTTCCATGCCAGTAGTATTGCTTGTGTGTTCCTATTAAGATCAACAGCGTTACTCTTGTCTAATCAATGCAGTAGTGTAATACCTATATTGTTATAATGCTTGCCTGTTCATGTTTAATCTATCCAGTGTTCACTTTTGAAAAAGGTGAATTAAAGTCATTTTCTTTAAGTTTCAGGAGTAGCAGCCGTGTTAGTCTGTATTCGCAAAAAGAAAAGGAGTACTTGTGGCACCTTAGAGACTAACCACTTTATCTCAGCATAAGCTGAGGTGAGCTGTAGCTCATGAAAGCTTATGCTCAAATAAATTTGTTCGTCTCTAAGGTGCCACAAGTACTCCTTTTCTTTCTTTAAGTAATTCTTAGTAATCAGGATAAACTGAGCATTAGATAAGCTTGTTTTTTAGAACGTGTACTGTACATGTTGAAGGCCCCCCTAAAACTTTGGAAATAAATCAAGACAAACCTCGGACACGAAAAAAGGTCAGACAGACTCCTTTTACAACACTAACAACTGTTTAACACAACTTCCAATGCATTTTGTTAGACCATTAGTCAAAAAAAGATGCTTCTTGGAAAACATCGCTCAAATTGAACACAGTAATGCTCCTTTAATGTTTCAAGTTTATATTTATGAGATCAATACACTGACCTTCACGCTTTCCATCAGTAGTTTTACTGGTGTTTTCTTCAGAACAGATCGAAGGCAGGAAGAGCCGTTATGGGATTGTTCACTGGATGGAGGGTTTCCCTTTTGCGGTGTCATAACAGGTGGCATGGTTTCATCAAATATCTCCAAGCTTAGTTCTTCTGCAAAGGTAACTTTCTTTCTGCTTAGCTGTGATCTAGTATTACTTCCAACGTCTTCACTGATACACTCAGAAGTCAAGTCTTCAAAATGAATATAGAAATATCAAGATTTAAGGGCTTCAGACGTAATGTTAAAAAATTCAGCGTTTGTTGCAATACATGCATGCTGCTACTTAGTCTCAAAAGCTGCTTAAACACTGAATTCCTCAAAAGCTAGGTTTTTGGAGTTGTGGTCTCCATTAGAGATGGATTATGTATGAGTTACCACCACACAATATCAGGTATGGTTGTTTATTTCTTGTGTTTAAAATATAGCTGCTATAGTACTGCAATTATTTTTTTTCCAATTAAGATTGTGTCAGCATGTCTGTTATACCTCCCTATTTTTTGGAGGTTTAACATGAAGTTAAGGGAAGTGGTCACTGAGAGATGGATCATCATACTTTTATGAGAAATCTATGTTAATCATAAAAGTTCCTCAATTACAATCTCACCTTTCTTAGAGTCTAAGGATACTTCTATCTCAAGGTATGCTTCAAATCATTACTATTTATGTGACATAAAACTTTACAAAACACATTCCACATTGTTCGACTAAACATTTTGAGAACTGAAAAAACTGTTTTATATGAGTACTTAGCTTTTAGAGCTGTACTACTTAAAGAAGAAAGCGAAAATTAAGACATGAATGAAGAGGCATTGAAACTTATTAGAATGTAAATTTGTAATTTGTTATAAAATAAAGCTTTTTAGAAGATAAAGGCATTTTAAAGGTAACACCATTAGATGCTCAGAAAAACAAAGCAAGTTCAGAGTGATTAATAAATATCAAAATTACAGCAAAAGAATCATTTACAGGATGAGACTGTTTCCTATCTTTGGGTTATTTTCTTTTCTACACTCTTGAGAATCTCCTATTTCTCTTATTGGGTCCTAATTTTCTATAGAATTCTCATTTGAAAGAAGCATTTCCAAATATTGTAGTTTACAGCAAAATGAGCTGCATAAATCTGCAAACCAGATTAATTTGAGCTTCCTCTGCAGCAGCAATTGAATATTACTTGTTCATTCATGACACATTTTTTGCCAGCATTGGTAATACAGCACAAAGCTACATTGACTTCTGTTGCATTTGAAAAACTCCTAATCAGAAAAAGAAAGCATCACTGCTTGTGAAATGGAAACGTAATTAATAAGGCATATTTAGTTTTTAAAGCTTCTAACAGAGTATTAACAGAAGTAGTGATGAATCTTCTTACTGCGTGGTGTCTTTGGGATGCCCGTTAGTGGAATAATCTCTAAAGATAAGCTTCCAGATTCAGTAAGTGGTGGCGTACAGGGAATTTCCTAGAAAAAAGGAAATTATAGCTCTTTTTACAAGAATACTGATATGCAAGGAAACACAGTAAAACAGTTTTCAAAAATATTAAAAAAGTCATGGATATTTTTAAAACAAAAACCTGAACGCAGCTTCCTTACTCAGTTATTAGAAGTGAACCATAAAGAAAATGTATTTTGTTTGTGCTCATTGAAATTTGTTTCTATGTCTAAAATAGTCTTTTTAAAAGGAGTGGTTTCAAATGCTTGTTTTTCACCTCTGATGTATCAACTCTGATCCTCAAGGTAAGACAAAGAGGAGCTTCTGGAGGACAAGAGTTGAAGCTCTCAATCCTAAACTAAAGGGATGGGGTGCTGAAACTTTTACAAAAAAGCTTTTCTCCTAAGTGTTTGCCAAGTGTTTCAGTTAAACAGCAAATAACCTTTTTGGTTCTTGATTTAAGTTTTCTGACTCAACATCCTCTCTCCACAAGTACTGAATTCCAGTCCTCAAACACACACAGAGAAGCAAGACCTGGTATTTCCAATGTAACAAAAATAAAATAAAAACAAAACCAACCCCTCCTCCCCAATTTAACAAGCCTGAGGCCTATATATAAAGAAAGAAGAGGACAAAATATTAAAAGGCTTTGCAGTTCATTTGGAAGACAGAGTACAGGACCAAACTGCTAACTTTCTATTCTATCTGTCGGTAAGGACTGTTCAGCTTCACCTGTGAGGTAACTGTTGGCAAATGGTGACTTTAATAGCAACTGCTGCGTATGACATTTTCCCTTTTTCTTTGAGCATATAATGCATGTTAAAGAGTCACATAATATTCCTTCTGTAGGAATACAGTTTTCATTATCACATTACTAGTCTCTTTAGTTGACTTTATTGCCACAAAATATCAGCAAGGACAAAAGCTTATCAGAATTCAAAAGAGGATTTGAAATTTATGTCAATGGGAAAAAAATCAGAGGTACATTTGCTAGGAATAAAAATATGAGAAATAAAGTAGTAATATATTTCAGGGAACAAGTTACCCACTAACTGATGTGGGTTCGGAAGCAACTTCCCTAAGGGCTGGTTTTTATTGCAGGTTACTTGCATCTTCCTCTGGAGCTTCTGATGGAGGCCACTATCAGACAGGACACCTGACCAGTGGCCGAGCAATTCTGATGTATGGCATATCTTAAGTAGTGCTTGTATTACATCCAGTCGTGTTTCTCTCCCCCCTTCCTTTATTTGTGCAGAGGCAATAACATGCCGTTTTCCTTGAGGAGGAGAGGCATGGAGAACCTTTGTTTTACATCTCTTCTGAACGATTACATTAGTTAACAGCATGTTCAAATTTGTCCACATGAATATCATAGTTGTAACAGACAGAACCGAGAGCACACACGGAGGGCGTTTCCAATGAAGAGGTATTGCTCTGTATCGTTATCATCAAGCTCAACCCTCACGTAGAACTTTTAAGTTTGATTTGACCTACGTACAAGAAATCTTCAGAGGCCAAATATAGTAAGTTACAAAATTAAAATATTCATTTCTGTAAATGAAAGTTGTGAATTAAACCTGTGTATGATTACAAGACAAAAGGTAACATTGTCTATTAGAAGACTTTACAGCAGGCAAACACATTTTAAGCCTACTTAAAACTGAAAACTGAACAAAAAAACCACACAACATCCACACTGTGTTTTGGGCCCATAATTCCTGGTGACAGAAGAGGAATTAAGGATGACGGAGGTGGGACTACATTTGAATGTATAATCAATGCACCAGTGCCCCCAACAGATTTTTGCTACATTGGCAGTTCCACTGCTCACAATGTGAATTTAATCCCTACAAGAGGGATCTGCTGATGCAATTTCATAATTAATTCCCCTCACCCTCTTAAAGATATACACATACCTCTGAAATTATAGCAGTAGTAGTTTCAATGATGGGCACCTCCTCTGGTGGAGAGACAATCTTGCATACCTGGATACTGGCTGCAGTTTTATCACCATTAGTTAATTTTTCTTTCAAGTTTTCCTCATAAGCAACACTCTTGCATTCAGATGTTAACTCATCACTCATGTGAGACTGTTCATGCTGTTTTGTAAAAGGTGGTTCGTTGACAGCTGCATTTGTAAGTTAATAAAATAAACAAAGCTTAGATTTTCCATGTAGATCATTTACACCCCTTCACTGCATAAGATAAGCTAGAAGTCTCTCTAGAAGTCAGACAAAATTAAGAACATCCTTTGAATTCTATTCTGCAAGTAGTACTGTATTACTTATTTTCATATTCTTGGGTGTTTTAAATAAAGCAAGCCACCAAAACTAGATGGTTATTTTGTGGATGGTATGGAAAGCCGTAGTATAAAGAAGGGCTCAGGTAAGTAATGAAGTAGAATATAGCAATGTAGTTTCTGGCATCTTTTCTATACTTACCATTGAGCCACGTTGACTTTTCATGTGCAACATTTGTTAATTTCCTTTTCCTATTGGATGGCTTAGAGGCCTTACAGGATAGGGCAATTTATCAATAATTTGGAGTTCATTCAGCATTTGGGTATGTTAATTATACATTTTATTTCTTTGATAAAATTTCCAAATACTACTGCATTTTTGAAGAAGGTACTGGACACCAATCTTCACACAACTGGTATTGTTACCAGAAATGTAAGGACCAATCCAATGACTTCAGTCTCTAGATCCATGAATTCATTATGAAAGAGGGGCGAACAATAAAAACAGGGAATGAAAACACATTCAATGAAAAGTAAAAGACAAGAAGCCTGATTAACTGTCCAAAATGTATATTAACCACAGTCAGAATCGTACTACATAAAATTTGATAATGTAAAAACTATCAGAGAAGTCACATCGGCAACAGATAAACACACTGGAGCTTTCAGTTAACCTACCTTCCCCCCCCGGTGAAACCATGACTCAGAATTCATCTTGAAACTGGATTTTTACAATAGAACAATTATTTATGGTTACTATTCAGACCGAAATCAACATTACTGACTTTTTTTTGGTTGCAGATATAGATTACTTACAATAGCCTGCTGCCCGGGACACACACTCCTCCTGCGAGAGCCCAGGAAAGCAAGCCCTGTCGTCGTCCTCTTGCGCGGATTGAAAAGAGGACTGGAAGGCAGATATTCTATCCTTTAACGAGCCAACATTTTGATGTTTAAAAGGGCTGGCCTGTTAGGACATGAAAAAATAATCCATTTATGCTCTTTAAAAGTTGGAACTTACAAATGCTGAAGAGGAATAAGTATGTTAACACAACAGCACAAACTTAATCAAAGAGACAAATAAGTGCATCTTAAAATGGCCTTGTGTTTCACTTGGATACTGCCCCCGAGTTCTGTGATGAAAAATGTAGAAAAGGGATTCATCTCAAATATACTGCTACACAACAATACAGTTTGACTCCCTTTCTCCTCCGCTTATCCCTCCAAAGCAGTTTGCCTATGCCCGCCCCATTCACATTCATGTAAACTAAATTGTACAAGTGACAGCATTTTTCTATATTTTAAACATAACTACATACAACACTGGCATTTTATTAAACAAACAAACAAAAACAAAAACACACACACACCTAGAACTCCTGAAAATTAAATTAAATCAACCTCCAGTTATACCTCAGAAGAAGAGGAAAGAAAGAGTGGACAGTTAAAAATTTGACTTCAGTGGCATGTTGGAGTGATAGGTCCAGTGAAATGAACACTGGACCCCAGGTCTTCAATATGGCCATAACCTTATGATGCACACAAGCAGGCACTTTATGATGTAAAAGCATGAACTGAACATATGTAAAAAGCAACTACACCTTAAAGTGATATCTTACAAGATGTTAACAGATACGTACACTATAATTTTAGATTTCAGAGTAGCAGCCGTGTTCGTCTGTATTCGCAAAAAGAAAAGGAATACTTGTGGCACCTTAGAGACTAACCAATTTATTTGAGCATAAGCTTTCGTGAGCTACAGCTCACTTCATCGGATGCATTCAGTGGAAAACATTGTTTGTGACTCCATAATTAAGGCTGTGTTTTGTTTTGCACTTAAAACAGAAATCCAGCCTCTTACGTATGAAAAATATCAGCCTTTTCCAAACTCACGGCACTTTAAGATCCATTACTTCATCCAGGAGTTAAAAGTAATTAAAAACTGGGTTCATTAAGAAATTTAATATGTATGTTTTAAAAAATATGCCTTAAACAGGCTTAATACTTTGTAATTATTGCAAAAACCAAACATTACAAATCCAAGAAATTCAGGAGCTATATGTACACCTATAGGAAATCCAAAAATGTAAAGGTATGACAATACCCACATAAGGCATCTAGCCCTGTAGTGACACCATGAGAGGAAAAAAACATGAAAAAAATAAAATAAAAATGAATGATTCTTTAAAGTCAGTCTAATATAATTGGGACCACACCCACTAACATGCCTTTGTCATTATTATACTGTTATTGCAAGACAGAGTGGAGATTCTTTGGGCAACTTACATGTGCATCTCCATACTTGAAAATGCTCCGATTTATTCTAAACATAACCTTAATTCAGAATGTCCTGGGCTTGTAATGCTTGGTTTTGACATCATTACAACATCGCTGTAATATTTTTTACCTTTAGGTTTCTACTATCTACTCCTAACCTTTCCAGTGTTTAAAACTTGTTTTAATTTTCCAATACAGAACAACGTTTTTCAATCCAATAACCCAAACAGATATACACATTTTGAGGAAGTTTCACAAATGGGCTGTAAAGATTAAGCTGTAAAAACGGCCTCAGTCTCTTCTAAAGCAAAGTTTTTAAGTAGCCCAGATCTAACATGTTTTCCTCTAAGATTTTTTAAAAGGAGGTTCATTAACATTACTTGAGCAACAAACATACAAGAAAATAGCTAGCAAACCCCAGGGTGGGGTATGGGAAAACGGTAAAAAAAGAAGAGGGGTTAACAGTTTTTGAAGTGTAGCTTTACCGTCACAGTGTTTTAAGCTAACTCTTTTTCAATATATAATAATCTGAGTTACTAAAATACATCTATTGGAGGCAGTTGGTCTCAACTTTAGCTCCCCACAATTCTCAGTAGAAAAACTGTTAAGAATCAGAAGTCAGTCCATTGTTATTTCTATTTTTGTTTTCTTCCTTCAGACTTGCCTTCTCTTTCCTTCAGTCCAGTTTAGGCCTGCACTACACTACCGTTAGGTTGACATAAGACACTTTACAGCAACCTAATTATGTCAGTGTACACACTACAGCCTCGCTCCCACGGATGAAAGTGCCCTAACTCCACCTCCATGAGAGGCTTATGTTGATGTAGTTAGGACAATGCAGACATTGCATTCCTTACATCAGCTGTTTGCTGTCTTGTCAGTTTCACAGCTCTGCCCCAGCAGTGAAATTCACAAGAAAGCTCAGCTCCTGGCTCCCAAGCCTAGCTGCTGCCAGATCCCCCCAAGCCAACCTGCCTCCCAGGCTCCTGGCTGGGAACCGTGCTGGGAGGCGAGAAGCCCAGGGGGGCAGCTGGGCTCCAGTGGCGAGCTGAGAGCTCTGGCTCTCAGCCCCCCTCACTGGCCTTCTTCAGTCAGTGGAAGCGCTCCTGGTGAGGACACGCACCACCAACAGGTGGGTAGTGTGGACATCAGCCACCACAGTAATTACTGCAGTGACTGAGTCGACCTAACCTAGCTCAACTAAGATGGTAGTGTAGACATAGCCGGATTTTCTCCACATTCAAAATCTAAACTAAAAAAAGAAAAAAAGCTTTTGACTATAAAAGTGAAATGGTGAACATTGTCACATTCATTCAAGACATGATAAATATCTGAAGCGGATTTCCTCCACCAGCCATATTGCACAACTCTGAAAAAAATTCCCACCTTTGTGAAAGGGTCTTTGGTTCTGTTCCTCCTTTGTTGGGCAAGGTATCGAATAAGGCTATTATTTTCAGGGGAACCCCGTACTCCAATCGTAGATCTGCGCCTAAGTTTTAAAGCCAGGGATTTCCCTGGAATGAAAACAAAGCAAGAAGAAAAGCACAATGAAGCTTCAGAAGAACACTTACAAGTCTCTTACAATAGCAGGGAAATTGCTTCTATTTCAAAAATGTAGGTGTTATACAAAGTTTTATATTTGCAATGTTGTCTTCATTAGAAGGAAAAATAAAACAGCAAGCATTTGAAACCTTGGTTGTGTATTACTTACTTCACTGGAACAATTAAAAGACTGTTAGACAAAGAAAACTCCACAACAGTTTCAGGGTAGGGGGTGTGTGTGTGTCTCTCTCTCTCTCATATAATATGTAAAAAAAAAAAAATAAACAAACAAAACAGTTTCCTCTCTGGATACAAAAGACCATCAGGCAAATAGTGCTGCGATGCAGAAAGTTAGGGAAACCAAGAAAAGGTCTTCACAAAGGAAAAACAAAAAGGCTTAAAGGAAAAACTTCCTCAAATCAATCTTTGGGCAATCCCTAGGTGTCCCTTTCCTTGGCAGCATGAATGTTCTTACACTCAACACTTCTCCAGTGTACAAGACCCAGGAAATAGAAAGTTAATGCCGCAATGATCAACATAAGCTTTCATGGGAAGTTCTGCTGGGTTTCCACAGGGTTTGGGGCTAAGAGTGGGAGAGAATGGTGCCATGCAAGACTACCCTCCCTCAGCTCTCTAGCATCGGAAAAAAACCCAAAACCCATGTATCCCCAAACTGAGGTCTAACACTGTTTGTTTTCCTGGGGGAACCATATTGACAGTTCCTAGATAGGTTATTGAACATGTTTTCAAACTGGTTTAACATCCCATCCTTATTTGCTCTTTTGTGCCTTTAAACAGGGACAGTTGAAAATTGTAATGTTAATTTCAGAGTAACAGCCGTGTTAGTCTGTATTCGCAAAAAGAAAAGGAGTACTTGTGGCACCTTAGAGACTAACCAATTTATTTGAGCATGAGCTTTCGTGAGCTACAGCTCACTTCATCGGAAGTGTAGCTCACGAAAGCTCATGCTCAAATAAATTGGTTAGTCTCTAAGGTGCCACAAGTACTCCTTTTCTTTTTGTAATGTTAATGTAGCTAGAACATATAAAAGGCTGTGCTGTGGAATAATCACCATTACTTTATCCCGGTGTAAAATGATCATTTGGATTTCAAGAAGCCCTACCTACTGATTGTGAAATTGCACACTTAGTTGTACTTATGAGTCTGTGCCATTGACAGAAACATCAAAATTTGCTATAAAGCACATGGGATGAAGAAAGTTCCCAGTGTTACTTTTGCAAAATTTCCTCCAGCTGATTCTATTCCCCATCTCATGTTGGCTTTAGGAAGTCAGAGTATTTCCCCTCTACTCAAGAAAACATATGATTAATAGGAAATTACTCTACATGCCAAGTAGAGAGAATGTTGGCCAATTCTTCACAATTTCTCTCTCCTGCACTATTTCCAACTCACTGCTTGTAAAACCTATATCTGTTATTACCAGAAATGCCCATTATGTCATATTACTCTGTGAATGAAACTGACATCCACCCAATCAGAAAATAAATCATTTTGCCATTTTACATAGTCATATCAATCTTTTATATTGAACTCAGCATATTTGCATTATGGGTATCTTATGCTGTTTATCCATTACAGCATCATTTTGGTTTGATGAACTGTAAGTGAGATCCAGCAATATAAACAGTCATACTTGAAGGCACCTTCAAAAATTTTAACCTTTTGGGTCTGTGAGAAGCCAATTCTATTGCCCATTTCAACAGTACTTCCAGCTATGTCGGCAATCTTGGGATTTTTATAACAACTTTGTTTTGTTTTAATTTTTTAACTAGATGGATTTCAGCATAAATTAAAGACCCTCAGATTTCAAATAAGTTTGCTTACTTGACAGCTTCCACCCACCACATTCCAATCCAATTTAAGAGCATTTTTCATGTAAAAGTTGTCCCAAATGCCCTGAAATCTCTGGAGAGGGATTCATGTCCACCATTAAAAATTTAGGGGAATGTAAATTATGCAAGATACCAGGTGTGTTCTTGCTTACATATGAAGCACAATATTTTGAAAATTTTCATTTTTACAGTCACCTTATCAATCCTTACCTACAGATGGCTTAGCAGTAAAAGACTCTGGAGTAATCCCAAATTCAGCTATTGTTACATGAGCAAAATCAATAGGTTTCCTCATTAATTTCTCCGATGTTCCACAATTAGGTTTTACATCTGCTTCACCTTTGTTTGGTGTCAGATAGCTTGCCTCACCCAAAAATGTAGGTCTGCCTTCTGAAAAAGGACTTTGCAGTTTGTCTGATGTCAAAAAGGACAAGGAAGGTTCAGGTAAGTTTCCTTTTTGTTTAACAGAAAGGCTTTCATAAACTGCCAGTTTACTATCATCCCTACTCTTCTGATATAATTTTCTCCCTACGTATTTGTTGCATTTCACTCTGGGTTTCTGCACATTTGTGGGGTTCCTGCCATTTAAATTTTCCATTTCTGAAACCTTTGTGCTTTTTGATTCATCCATTCTGACAATCTTGTCTTTTGGAACAGGCATAGAAGAAATATCTCCGTCTTCTTCAATAATTCCTTTCCCATTTTCTTTGACATCAGCAACAGTATTTATAATTTGTCTAGATTGTCTGCGCATAGTCAGTACTGTATTCTGAGCTTCCAAAAAAATACGATCAGTCTTGTTGTTCTCTTGTAATCACAGCTCTGTCATTAAGAACATGTTTATGTTTTTTTGTAAAAGCAACAGCCACAACATGCAGACGCTGTAAAGCTGTTAGAAGATGCAGTCGTCCTTCCTATGGAGGGAAGGAAGTATGAAATGTTAGCTCTGAAGTTTACTGTAAATATCAGATATTATATGCACAATATTCTGAAGTATGTGGATATCTGTATTAAACACACACAAAAAACTATGCTAATGCAACATTAGGATGGAGATTTCCAAATCACCAAAGTCAGAAAATTCAAGCCTCCCCCCGCCCCTGCACATCTATTTTAAATCTTGCCCCTTATCCAACAGGTTTTTGTGTTAATACTACACAGTGATAATTTTCATGTGCAGTAGAGTTTTGGTTTATATATAAATCACTACTTAGATTTTTTTTTGAGACTTTGAAATCTCGAGTAACTGATCTTCCACTTAGTTTTGTCACATTGAAATAAACGTTAGATTTAAGTGTGTAGAACTATAGATATGATCGCACTGGAGCTCTAAAGCTTAATTTGTGGCACTTATCGCACACTGAATACTAGATGCATTTATTTCAATGCAAGATTGTGTATGTGTGGGAGAAGACCTTTAACTCTCAATTAAGCATTCAAACATACGCTTGGCCAAAATTTTCAAATAGTGAACGTCTAAAAAGTTATCCTCTTAAATCTATGTTTTGGCACCTAGCTAAAATGGACTGATTTTACAGAAGTGCTGAGCACCCACAACTCCCACTGACTTCAAGATCTATTGGGAACTCAGCCAGTCATTCATTGTAAAAGGGCTGCATTACTAAAACTTGCACTTTTATTACAACTTGCCCAGTCTAGAATCCAATGATCTTTTGGCAGATATTGACAACGCCACACGAACAAGAACGTACTAGCTGGTACTCACTTTCTTAAGGGAAATCTCCTCCCTCTGAGATAATGTTCATCTAAAGCATAACAGGACAAATCAGTTTGTTTATTTAAACAAAAAGAAAACATTTTAACACCCAAAGTAGGGCAATAGGATAGTGTCACGTTAAACAGAACAAAAAAAAAAAATAAGCCACCCAAACTTAAGCCCAGTATCGCACAAGTCTTGCGCAATAGCATCACAACAATGCTTAAATAAGCTGTCACAATGTGACAAAATATTATTACACGAACATTCCAAAGTAACTAATGCTACAGCTTTTGATTATCAAAGCAGTCCTTCCCGTTGGAAAAGCTGAAGACTGCTTTGGTAGATGGCATAAGTAATGTGGGGAAAGGCAGCGATTGCCAAGTATTAAGAGTAGGTTGTTCCTTTAAAAAAATAACAGGTGCTTTTAAAGAAAAGAGCCTGCTGTACCATGCTGTGCACCTGTCAAGCAAAACCAAACACACAATCCAGTCCTTCCTTCCACATACCTACTTCTAATTGTTTTATTGTTCCCTTCTTGTGCTAACATCTGAAGTTAGATTGGATGCTTTTGGGGGTACAGGAGGTGTCCGGCATACAACTGGGCAACATAAAGAAACGAAAGGAGATGGGTAGAAAAGAGGAACGTTTGTTGGATGGGTACGCTCAAAGATTCACACCGGCTGGTGCACGTTCTTCCCCCCACCCAAAGGAGGTGCAGGCACCACAAAAAGAAAGGCAAGTAGACTGCACATGTCCTCAATAGTGTCACTGGAGTGTGTAGCAACAGCTGACAAAGAGGTCCTGCAAAGGGGTGGGGGTGGGGGAAGGAGACTGCTCCCAGAGGGGCCGCGGAGAAGAGCCCCAGTGCCCAAGGGTCTATCAAGCAATTCCCCCCACATATAGATCCTGTTGTTCCCATGGACATTTTTTCAATTTCTACAATACCCCGTCCCACTCTCTCAGATCCCCCATCCCCCTTCCCTCTCTCATATCCCCCTCCTCCCCCAGCACCCCTCCCCTTTTCATATCCCTCCTCCCCGAAGCACCCCTCCCTCTCTCATCCCTCCTCCCCACCTCTCCCCCCTCTCATATCCCCCGCACCCCTCCCTCTCTCATATCCCTCCTCCTCACCTCTCCCCCCAGCACCCCTCCCTCCCTCATCCCTCCTCCCCCCACCCCTCCCTCTCCTACCCTCCTCCCCCCTCTCCCCCTGTACCCCTCCCTCATCCCTACTCCCCACCTCTCCCTCTCTCGTCCCTCCTCCCCCCCACCCCTCCCTCTCTCATCCCTCCTCCCCCCTCTCCCCCTCTCTCCCCCGCACCCCTCCCTCTCTCATACCCTCCTCCTCACCTCTCCCCCCAGCACCCCTCCCTCCCTCATCCCTCCTCCCCACCTCTCCCCCTGTACCCCTCCCTCATCCCTGCTCCCCACCTCTCCCCCTGTACCCCTCCCTCATCCCTGCTCCCCACCTCTCCCTCTTTCGTCCCTCCTCCCCCCCAGCACCTCTCCCTCTCTCGTCCCTCCTCCCCACCTCTCCCCCTCTCATATCCCCCGCACCCCTCCCTCTCTCATCCCTCCTCCCCCAGCACCCCTCCCTCATATCCCTCCTCCCCACCTCTCCCCCTGTACCCCTCCCCCCCCCCCTCTCCCCTCCTCCCCCGCACCTCTCCCTCTCTCATCCCTCCTCCCCACCTCTCCCCCTCTCCCATATCCCCCCTCTCATATCCCCTCCAGCACCCCTCCCCCTCTCACAGCCCCCCACCTCACACACAACGGTTCCCGAATCCAGGACGACCCGACCGAGAGGAAAACTACGGCTGACGGGCTAGACCCGCCTCTTCATTCAAACTCGTTCCAAGGCCTGCACCGTGCGTATCCCTCCGCATGGTCATCCCGCACCGAGAGCCGACCTCCCGCCTAGCCGCATCAACCTGGGCACATGCCCTCCAGACCAGTGGGGTGGAAGGAAGAAGGCCGCCTCCGGCAGGCTTAGGGGCTCAGATAGTCCCAGAAAGCCTCTGCGAGGGACAGGACTATTTTCCCTGCAGTGAGTCCCGGCAGCGCGCAGGAAACATAGCATCGACGCGATTGGATGGCGCACTAATTTTGAAATACAGCCCATCAAACGGCCAGTCCATCCCCACGTGACACACCCTGGCCAATCAGAAGTCTAGGGAGTAATTGGCCCCCCCTCCTCATGCAAATATTTCTCATGCTGTTTGGCCGTCACGAGTAACGCCCTGCACTTCTCAAGCCCCCTCGCTCTTAGAGCTCTGATTGGCCAAAACCCAGACCCCGCCCCCCCAGGGCAGAACGTTTCCCCCCGTCAATCCTCCCTGTCTAACCTCCACACCTGCACGGAAGAACGCCCCGCCCTTGCCTGCCTCCCATTGGGCAGGAGGAGTGGGAGCGGGTCTCTGATTGGGGACCGGCGATGTCAGTCAAAGGTGCTGGCTTCCGGGTTTGGCGGCGGAGGACCGTGGCCTCGGGAGCGCTGGTAGCATGAGGCGGGTCACCCTGTTCGTCAATGGCACCCCCAAGAACGGGAAGGTGAGGGGGGGCCTGGCGAAGGGGGGAGGGCCTCTGAGGTGAAGTGGGTGGGGCCGGGGGGAGGGGGAAGGAGTATGAAGGGTACTGAGGGGGGGAAGATGAAGAGTATTTGGGTGGAGAAGGAAGGGTACTGGAGGGGGAGTATGAAGGGTACTGGAGGGGGGAATATGAAGAGGGGGGGAGTATGAAGGGTACTGGAGGGGGGGAGTATGAAGAGGATTTGAGGGGAGTATGAAGGGTACTGGAGGGGGACTATGAAGGGGTGGGGGAGTATGAAGGGTACTGGAGGGGGGGGAATATGAAGAGTATTTGAGGGGAGTAGGAAGGGTACTGGAGGGGGGGAGTATGAAGAGGGTTTGGGGGGAGTATGAAGGGTACTGGAGGGGGGAGTATGAAGGGGTGGGGGGTATGAAGGGTACTAGAGGGGGGGACTATGAAGAGGGTTTGGGGGGAGAAGGAAGGGTACTGGAGGGGGGGAGTATGAAGAGTATTTGGGGGGAGAAGGAAGGGTACTGGAGGGGGGACTATGAAGGGTACTGGAGGGGGAATATGAAGAGTATTTGAGGGGAGTATGAAGGGTACTGGAGGGGGGACTATGAAGGGGACTGGGGGGGGAGTATGAAGGGTACTGGAGGGGGGAGTATGAAGAGTATTTGAGGGGAGTATGAAGGGTACTGGAGGGGGGACTATGAAGGGGTGGGGGAGTATGAAGGGTACTGGAGGGGGGGAATATGAAGAGTATTTGAGGGGGAGAAGGAAGGGTACTGGAGGGGGGAATATGAAGGGGTGGGGGAGTATGAAGGGTACTGGAGGGGGGGGTATGAAGAGTATTTGAGGGGAGTATGAAGGGTACTGGAGGGGGGACTATGAAGGGGTGGGGGGAGTATGAAGGGTACTGGAGGGGGGGAATATGAAGAGTATTTGAGGGGGAGAAGGAAGGGTACTGGAGGGGGGAATATGAAGGGGTGGGGGGTATGAAGGGTACTGGAGGGGGAATATGAAGATTATTGGGGGGGGAGTATGAAGGGTATTTGGGGGAGTGGGGTATGAAGGGTTGGGGGGTGAAGGACAGAGGAGCTCTCAAGGGTAGCGGGGCTAGGAGGGGAAATAGGGAGGGGATGCCACTGGTGCCTGGTGCATATGTGAACTCTGTGGTTGTATGTATTTTTTTTTGTGGGTGTCGCAGGTTTGTGGATGTGAATTTTTGCCAGTACAAATGACTCACTGTCAGGTTTGCCAACCCTCTGGGATTGTCCTGGAGTCTCCAAGAATTAAAGATTAATCTTTTAATTTAAGATGATGTCACGTGATGAAATCTCCAGGAATTTGTCCAACAAACGTTGGCAACCCTCCTCACAGTGTAAATCAGTGTGCATGGGTTGTGGGTGCTCTTGCAGGCATCATATTAATTTAGCTGGGGTAGTGGGTAGGTGTTGTAAATCTTACTGGTGCAATGTAAATACCAGTACATGATGCATCTTTCTCTGGTGCAATGTTAGTAACAGGATGGATAAAAATCAGGATATTTTTTTTTTTAAATTTCAATTTGATTTTGTTTTACTTCAAATTATGTGTTTCTTTTCAAAAAGATATACCTGTTTAAAGTGAAATCTGAATTTAATACAAAACATAAGACCTAAATTTATTATAATCTCTTAAAACATTTAAATAATAAGTATGTATAATGAATCCATGAGCCTCTATCAAAAACTTAGAGTTAGTCTGCATTTCTATATAAAAGAGAGAGTCGAGGGAGAACCATGTGACTTTTGAGGTCAGACTTTATAGGTGTGGCATAGTAGGTTAGCCTAAGTAATTTAGGAGACTGTCTGATTTTCAAAATACTTTGGTATGTAGGAACTTAAGCAGCACTCTCTTTCACTTAAGCATATTTGAAAACTTTCCCAGACTGACCTGAAATCATCAGTTTAATTCACTGACTACAGTTAATCTCTGTTTATTTAGTCATTTAGTTGTAAATATGAAACATTTTTTGATGAGGGTTTATATATCCCAAACATTTAAGGTTATTTTGTTTAATAAAAACAAATTGTAAAAACACAAACTGTTTTGTGTGTTTGTTTAAATTCCAGTTACCATCCTAATACAGCTTGACACAAGTAATGAGCAAAAATTTAACCATCAAGTAAATAAGCAATATATCATTCATCATTTTCTAATATACTAAAAATGTACAATTAATAAGAATCTGAAAATATACTATATAATTCCTCAAATAAATGTACATAGTTATAATGTATCCTCCGAGTTAGCAAAAAGATGTGCCAGTTTTAGTGTAAAGGCTCTATTTAGATGTAAATAACTGTGAAAACATGAGCTCAGTCAACGGGAGGGCTGTGTTTTTAGAAAATAACTGAAGTACAAATGGAAAAGTTGATTAAAATCGATGATTTAAATTGAGGCATTCCACTTCGTGATTTAAATCAATCCACCCTGTCTAAGTACCATGGTTACTGATGGTGTGGGCCGGGTTTTCAAATCTGTCTATAAAGGTGGATTTTTTTCTAGCACAGCAGTGGGTATGCACAAATTTTGTGTGAATGACTTAAGTCCTCCTAGCGTGTTTGTAGCTATTGAGGTGGGGGAAAAAATACTGCAGGGTTGTGTGGATAGACATGTTGCAATAAATCTACAGACCTATATCTTGGTACTCATGTTTGAAAAATTTCTCTCAGTCTCCCACTGTTGTCTGATTGTAATACTAGTCTATAAATGTAGTAATGTCTGGCCCTGCACAGATGTTATAACCAAAACAAAAAGAAAAGGAGTACTTGTGGCACCGTAGAGATTAACAAATTTATTTGAGCATAAGCTTTTGTGAGTTACAGCTCACTCCATCGAGTGCAAGTGAGCTGTAGCTCACGAAAGCTTATGCTCAAAAAATATGTTAGTCTCTAAGGTGCCACAAGTACTCCTTTTCTTTTTGCAAATACAGACTAACACGGCTGTTACTCTGAAACATAACCAAAACAGCAATTAAACCTCTTAAGACAATATATAAACTTAATAGTGTCTGTGTATGAATCATATTTACATTGAGGGAATTGTTCTGTGAATATTCTACTATACGCACAAGGGAATGACCTTCAACCTCTGGTGAAACCTCTCATTGTTACGGGTCTTCTGTGCCTTGCAAAATTAGACCCTTAATTTTCTTCTCCCGGCCTCCAATATGTGATCCCTCTTTCCTTCCCTCCCTCAAACAAGGAAGTTCAAGTTTTTTAGGTTTTGTTTAATAATTTTTATCGTGTTAAGAATACGATGTTACACTATTAAAATTAAGAAATGAATGACTTATTTATAGGGATGCTAAAATTTCGGTGCACCTTGTTAAGGATC